CACACACACATACATACACACACACATACATACACACACACATACATACACACACACACACATACACACACACACACACACACACACACACACACACACACACACACACACACACACACACACACACACACACATATGATGTATATACATATGATTTTACAATTCTATAATTATTCCAGGAAAAAGTGTCAGAACTGGCACAAGAAAACACCTCATTACTCGCACGTCTGGGACCAGAGACTGATAATAGTGAGTCAGACATCAATACACTCTGTCGACAGCTGACCAAGTTGAAAGACCAGCTCATTCAAGCAAACTTACATGCTCCTCATCCTGTTGATCTGGAAGGTAGGATCATCTAAATTTCTGGTAAAGGTTGTATGGAATTATCGTCATTCAGAACTTGTATGTATGCATTTTGACATTCTGCAACAAAGCATTTAATGATTTATGCATTTCACGTAACAGCTATTCTGTGTGCTGGCGAGAACATTCATTCCCGTTGCCAGCAGGAATATGACTGTTTGAAGGAAGAATTCGAAAATTACAAGATCATTGCCAACCAAAAATCAGAGTAAGTAATTCTTTATGAATAATTATCATGATCTCAAAAGCTAGAGTACTGGAAATTGTTTGTTCTATATTTAAATAGTTTATTTTTTCAGCTGTCAGTTTTCCTTTAAATGTTTTATTTCATCTACAGAACTGTTGGAGAGAATGTGTGTAGAGGAGAATGTGGAAAACAGCTTGAAGACTTGCGACAGAAAATCCGTAGTTTGACTACAGCAGCTCAGCTGGCAGCTGAGTCCCATACTCTTCAAGTATTAGCATTTAAAGAGGTGAGATGAAAAGTATTTTTTAGGGAGAGAGAGAGAGAGAGAGAGGAAAAGGGGAAGGGGAAGGGAGGAAAAGAGAGAGATTGAGAGAGGAAGAAAGACTTAGAAGGAGAACTATAGAACTATATCTTGTGCCTTGGAGTCTTGTTTGATGCCTTTTGTATTAAGTCCTTCTGTCTGATCATGTGATACAGTTGGCAAGACTGTCCAACCAATGACTGCAGTGTTAAACCACTGTAAGACCTGGTACTTGCAAAATCTGGACTCGCCAATTCAGTCTCTACAGACACTTGTCTCTACTCCTGGAGATCCTGCCCATCAGGTTGTCTCCTCTAGAAATAGCCCTTGATGAAGGAGGCCCATCAGATGACCAAGGAATTCTTGATTTAATCAGATCAAGTAAATTTGCTTTGAGGAAGTAGAGATGGGCCATGGACCTGCCAGGCTGCTTGTGTGTGTGTTTGTTAGTTTGTGTATGTAAAATACTTGGATTCTGGTTTTGTAAAATTACCAACATGACTTATTTCAGGAAATGGCATCTTTACGGTCATCTCATGAGAGTAATCTCCGCCGTGCTGAAACAGAAAACCGAGTAGCCCTTGTTGCATTAGAACAGCAGTTGGCAATGCAGCAGCAGCGATCACTAAATACCTTGAATGAGCGAGATATGGAGATTCAGCGTCTAACCAAGGAAGTGCATGAATTAAGGAAATCATCAGCCCAAGTAAGTACTGGATGCATACATATATTTTCCTCCTGAATTACTTGATTGAAAAGGGCAGTTTGTTGTCATACTGGACAAATGATTACCTCTATGATTAGTTACAAAATTTTTCTTTTCTTTCTTTCTCACAGAGTGGTTTAGGGACCCTAGAAGCAACAGCTGCTATTTTATCGCAAGTGAGTGGTGGCAGTGAAGGGCCACTCTTGCATCACTTGGAGGAACTAGCTCGCAAAGATCAAGAAATATCCCAACTGAGACGTGAGAAGCGGCAGTTGGAAACTACGATGAGGGAAGTTCAGATGGCAGCATTAAATAGACAGCAGGCTCAACAAGACAAAATTGAACGCTTAGAGGAAGAAGCTGAAAGGTATGCTACATTCCTAATTACTTTTCTTTTTACAAAGACAAAACAATGACGTAATGCAAGAAAAGAAAAGAATATTTTTGTTATGTTGGGCAAATGTGATGTATGGCCTTTGTAGCACATGTATCTTTTGAAACTTTTTGTCAATTACTGGAAGCCACAAAAATGGCCATTACTTAGTTTTTGGATCCTGAAGAGAACTTGTGCTTCATCTGTGGAGCCTTTGTGATTGTCTTTCTCAGCTGATGTTAGTGGCACACTTAATGCTGCCATAGTTTTATCACTGCTAAAAATAAAAATATATGAAGAAATGCAAAAGTACAATTTCCTGGTCAGAAGTTTCTTGGTCAGCTAAATCAGTCATCTGTAAGTTTATTGCTTCATGTTATTTTTAAAGTATGTTCAAATGTGACCATTTGGCAAGGCTTCGGTTTGCTCATTTGTCAAGTGGCTCTTCATTTTATATTCTTTGTATTTTATCTGGATGTCTGTTTCTGCATTCAGTTGCAGGTAGCATGTCTTATTGAATGTTTACTACTGATGATAATATACATGCATATTTTTACAGGTACCGTAGGAATGTTTCACGGGAAGGTGAAAATCTGGAGTACTTGAAGAATGTTGTCCTACAGTACATGACAAGTTCAGAAGCTGAGTCACGTAATCTCATGCTAAATGCTATATCTGCTGTCCTAAAATTCACCTCTAACGAGGTGGAAAATGTGAGAAAATACAATACGCTCTGGTGGTGGCAACCTGCTCCGAAGACAGGGGTTAAGGTTAAAACTCACCACTAATATGGAGAGAAAATGATGGAATTATAAAGCGGCATATTCACTGTTAATTTTACAAAGTCATTCATATATTACTTCCAATGGTCTTGTTATATAAAAAGATTTATTTTCAGTGATGTGAAGGTGTCGGGTGTCTGCCTTGGAATATAAACAGATGGGCAGACAAAACAGCAGACAGTTACAGACACAGATAACCTGACATACACATATACACATGCACACCTACACCAACACCCACAATCATATACAGACAAGTATTATCTCTCTTTTCTCCTTGTCTCCTCTACCCTTGTTCATCGTATTTATTCTCTTCCTTTCTCCTCTGCTCATGTTTCATCTTTTCTCTGTATGTGTCTGCCTGTCTGAGTGCATGTTTGTGTGTGTTTGTTCATAGATATATATATATATGTGTGTGTGTGTGTGTGTGTATGTAATATATCAATTATTTTGTGTACAGATTATGATATATGCAGAATGTACATTAATGTTATAACTTGTAACCTTTAAGAATTTTATGGGATAATGGAATGGAATAAAATGATTATTTTTAACTTGCTTTTTTTCTCTCCAACTTTTTACTATTGTGTGGATTATTAACCCAATGCCCCCTGGGATGCCATGTACTATACGTAAATGCCATGTTCACTGTAAGTTTTGTTTATTAACTGTCTTTACACATAAATGGCTCCACAAGTACTAAATCTGTATTACTACATAATGTAAACCTTTGTAATGAAGCCATTTGATTAAACATTATCTATGTCATTGTCATTATTAGTATTATTATTATTATTTTTATTATTATTGCTATTATTAACATTATTATTATCATTAATTATTGTTATTATTATCTTCATTATGATTTTGGTGATGATGGTGATTATTCTCACCATCCTTATCATTTTCATTATTACTATCTCTATCACTAACATTCAAGGTAAACTATAAACAGGTAGCTCCACTTCTCTAGAGCCTAATGAACCCAAAAATGTAATTGACTCTTTCCCCAATAGTATTCTGACGGCTGGTAACAACTTCGTAGTTATAAATAAAAGTGGGGACTTTTGGTTTTGTTTCTGGTAAGAATTAACAATACTGAGTAAATTATGCAAATAATTATGTATCTGGCTATTTCTGATTTCTCACTGCGCACTCCCATTGGCTAAACGTGGTGATGTCATTAGCTCCTCCCTGTTTTTTTTTTACCCAAACACTTTGTCTGATGATTTATGGTAAGTTTTATTTCAGTGGATTTTCATTATCATTACATAATTGTACACACACGCTCATGCATATGTATATATGTGTGTGTGTGTGTATGTGTATGTGTATGTATATATATATATATATATATTTGTATATATATATATATTTATATATATATATATATATATATATATATATATATATATATATATATATATATGCAAATCCATGCACATTGCGCACATGCGAGTATATGAATGAAAACGAACCGCCCGCGTGCGTGAGTATACACACACACGCTAGATACGGTAGTGAATGAGTATATCATAGATATGATGGTGGGCTGAGAACCACCAACAATGATTACCCAACCAACTACTCTCTTGGGGAAGGATCATGGGTCGGCCACCCAGGTATATAGATGTCAACATGGCACAAGAATTTCCTCAAACACCGCATGATGGCGCAAATGTGTGTGTACATATATATATATATATATATATATATATATATATATATATATATATATATATATACATATATATTCATATGTCCTATATTCATATATATATATATCATATATATATATATCATATATATATATATATATATATATATATATATATATATATATATATATATATATACATATATATGTAAATGTATATGTATACGCTATGAATATGTAAAATTAATATTTACATTGAAGTGTGTTTGTATATATATATGTATATATATATATATATATATATATATATATATATATATATATATATATATGTATGTATGTATACATATATGCATACATACATTTATTTGTACACACATATATGTGTATATGCGTGTGTGTGTGGGTACATGTATATACAAATACATATATGTGTAGGTATGTATATATGTATACATGCATACATACATGCATTATATATATATATATATATATATATATATATATATATATATATATATATATATATATATATACTTTACTTCTATTATTGTGTGAAATATTCATCTGCATAGCATTACCGCAACATTACTTTGACATCACCGTGTGGGGAAAACAACAGACTAAG